GTTTATTTCTTGGTGTGTCACTTATTGCAGGTTACATGATCCTCTTTCCTGAAGCTGATTAATTTAATGATTTTGGCTTTCCTATTGCTTTATGCGCAAAGGTTGCAGTTATTAGTACCTCTCCCTTGGTATGCCGCTTACTTTTCACTTTGTGCTGAAATCGGTGCTCAAATCGCAACTGTCAACCTATGCCCCACTTTTTCCTTTTTTATTCATTGTTTTGTTTTAACTTGAACTATCTTATACCGTGATGTGCGTATCGTATTCTGCTTCTTGTGATGTTATAGTGACTGGAACGATTAGAATATCTCACACTTGGAAATGCAATTTGTAGTTTTTCTAGTCTTGTTATCTAACATAGCTCAGAACGGGTCACAGTGCTGTTTTTGGTGAACTATGGCTTACAGCTTTCGCAATAGTATACACTGGTAGAAGAATTACAGAGTTAAAAAATCCGTGTTCTAAATTCCACTCCTATTGAGCTGATTTGTCACACAATTTGCTGAGTCATCGTGCGTAATTCACTTTTCTGGCGTGAGGCGTTAGCTTAACGAGAATGCGCAAGACCGATTCATTCTTTAGAGCTATAAAGCTACTTGAACTGTTTGTCTTTTATGCGTCATTACTTCTTCCTCAAAACATCGTTGTTTATGTTAAATCGATAGTTTAAAAAAAAGTCCTTTCTTTTATGAGAAGTGTGAGCTTCTTTTTTATTGGTACGATTCTCTCAGGATTAAGGTGAAAACCACTTCTACAAGCAATCCTGTATTTCACTTGCAATTTAAATGGTACATAGTTATCTGTTTTCGTTTTATTGTATAGACTTGCCATGAGCCTTGTTTTGTGCTGCTTTCATCTCGACCGTAATACTACGGCTCAGTCTATATTGTCGATTTTGTGCATTCCTAATTGCTTTTTCGTTTTGATGTAAGTTGTAAATATTTGAGGATTCTTTAGCTGTTGTGTAAATTGTCATGCAGGTATATTGACCATAAACTTATGAGCTCTGCGACCATTCAGAAGAATACTGTAATGTCAGACAAGTACTGTTAATTCAACTTTTTGTGAAGTGGGCAAAATATTTCATTTACTTTACAGTGCAGCAAATGCTGAAGGCACCATGAGCCATGCTTTTTTATTTTATAGCATTTTCAGTTGTCGTATGGGTATCGATTCGGTGAGTCGAGCATATTGAATCATAGTTTCATCAGATTTGAGCTGAATATGTTCAGGTATTTTGGGATATTCCTCTCATGGTTACTGTCAGTAGTTATTCGATGTCCATTAGAAATTGGTAGTGTTGGTTGGTGGAGACTCAGCGATGTGCGAATTCGTTTACCAAGTGGACTCAACGTCTATGTTGATATATGCCAGCTTCAACTGTTCTCCGTTTTAGTAAGGTAGGCTCAACATACGGAGCTCATCGTTTTTTTGGCTTGAGGGAACAAATGATATGAGGAAAGGTCTCAGTTTCTTTTATTAGTATTCTTTTTTCTCTTGGAATGCCAGTACATTTGGTAGCGGCTGTCATTAATGAAGGTTGTCACCCACATTCTCTCTGCACGTCAAGCTTTTTATTCGTAGTCACAGAAACCGCATTACAGTAAACCTCTTCTGCTGTCGTTATCTAATGTTAAAGTGGAAGGAGATGCTCAATCTCTTGCACAAGCTTCACCTACAAGGAGAACTGGTGTGCCTCCTAGGCGCACCGATTCTAAGCATTCTTTATTCTCTCGTGTTACTCAACTAATTCAGGTTGCTTTTTCCTTTCTTTCTTGTCTATTAGCACTCGAACTTTCCTTTCTTCTTTTTTTTGTTCAAGTTTGAATTTTTAGTATTGTGGATTGTATGTTTCTCGAGGACAAGTAGTTCTTTTCGATGCTCCTCCTGGATGTATTTTTCATGTAACCATCGATGAGCTGTTGATGGAAACGTTTAGAAGCCGTGACGGGTACAGTTTTATAGAATCTTGTTGACCATTCGTGAACAACAGTACTCGTAGCTGGCAGCTCGAAACATCATGTTCACTGACGCGAGCAAAAGCTATCCGTCGCCAGAACACGATGGGTCACTCCCTTTTCGATCTTGGGCTTCAATTTAGACTGTCAGTGGATATCGCTGGAGGTCGTCTCAAAACCGTTAGCTTTCGTGTCACGGATCCGACTGTTGAGTTGTCGAGCGGTAAGTGGGAAGCTGCGTGTATGCATATGAATAGTATTTCATGCAAAATATTACCAGTACACTGCCTGTGTGATTGCAAAAGTGACTTGAGCTAGCATGGATTCGAATTCTCGTTTTGCTCGGGGTGATCCGGTTGTTCTTTACGATAGTTGCTTTTAGGTGTGTTCGACGAACTTGAAGAGCATGGAGACTCCTTCAAGTTGTCTGGAAATGCCGTTGACAATGCGGAAAACTTAGCAAATGGCAAGGAGCTCTTCTCGATCGAACATCTTTCGGATTTATGCATTGAAACCAACAATTGTCTTTTGAAATATAATAATTTATCAGGTGGAGAAAGGTGAGTCAAATTGTCTTTCATCCAAGTTATTTTTCATCTGGATTTTTTCAGTCGAATGTTAACGATAGCATTACGAGGACTGTCGGTCACCAAAGATAGCGGGAAGACTCAAACACGTGTAGTGGGGTTGTCAGTTGAAGATCAGCGCCAGCGACTAGCTTTACGGACAAGTCTTCTCGTTCTATCACATGAGGTTTGTACGTTTGTATTTCCTTGTCTTAATAGCCTCTTCCAAATTAGACGATATCGCAATCGGCAGTACTCTGGCTTCCTGGCAGTGGGGCATCTCGCTGCGAGTTTGCTGATTGTGGCGCAGTCTTCATCAAATGAATGCTTGAGAAGTAATGGAGAAAGGAGAATTATTCCTCAATTTTCAGAAACGGGTCACAGGAGTGTTTGTGCAAGTTATTTCGGATAGTGTTCAGACTTCTCTTTCTATGCAGGATGTCGCATTTTGGAAACTTCACGTTGATTCTGTTCTTCCTGTGATAAGGAAAATTGTAGTACGTTCCTTTGTGGTTTCGATGTTACTACTGTTTCCATCTTGACGTCAACGATTTATGGAAAAAGAACATATTCAGGGGCAGTCACCACCAGTTGCTCCTTCGACACCACCTCGTATTCCTGTCACATTCTCTGTAGAAGTGGCGTCTATTTTTTGTGATCTCGTGGATGCCGATGCATTCCAGTCAACTTTATCTGTGCAATTTTTGAGTATCACAAAAGTAAGTTGAAACAAAAAATTCAATCTCCAATAATTACCCGCTTCCTCGTCTTCAGTTGGATGCGAATCCAACAAACGGTTTGTCTTGGACGTCAGTTCATATTTTATCGGTAGGAATTCCCTTGCATGCAGTGTTCATGGGAGTGATATTTCACTCAAGTTTGACAATAGCGCAATAAAACACCATGTGATGAATCACTGAAAAGCGTCCTAATATCACGATGCGCTAAATGTTATAAGAGTTTGTCATTTCCTCATCACGCTGATAACATTAATAAATTTTCATCGTGATCGGGAAAAATGTCAGGTACGATTCCCACGTAACATAACCGACCTCTGTTATCCCTTCGAATTTGCAAGCCTATTTACAAGGAGAGAGATGTCTTGACGGTGGAACTCTCGACATTCGGAAATAAATACAGCAGAAAGCACTAAGCGCTGCAAAAGGTTTTCATCATATAATCTTTCGGAAGGAACTCCCCCCGGCTTTTAATTCTCAAATTTAATGCTGTTTGAGAAGAAGGGTATCGAGGTTCTCTCTGCTGACGCTTCATCTAATGCTGATTTTTCATCCAAGCTGAGCTGGAAAAGATCAGCATTGATTTGCTAAATAACGCAAAAAGGTGCAGCTACTACACGGCCAGCGCTTAGATAACAAAACAAAGGAGGCTTCTAAAAGTAATGAAGATGCAGCCCTTGCAGTCGACTTCGAAAACCAACAATTCTTTGAATTAATAATCCTTTTCAAGTATGTCTGGATATTTCTAGGAAGAACATATGCTGGAAGTAGGAGTAGATTGTCTTTGCATTGCGGGTCCCAGCAATAGCGGCTGGTAAGTATGCAACCCTTCGAGACGCCATCAGTGGGGCAATCCAGTAGTTCTGGTGGACTAATGCTTTTTTTGTAACCGGAAATTCCTCAAAACAGGGAATGTAATAGGTTTATATTGGAGCTGCGCTTGTGCAGCAAAACTTGAAGGAGCCGGACTTGCTCATTGGGATTGATGATTGTAAGATCGAATGGAGCGACAAGCTGGCTAGCCAAGTACTTTTTCTTCTTCTCATATTCTCAATTCAACCCTTACGCTCGCATGATTTCTGTGCTTTATTTATGTTTCTCTAGTTGAAAAAACTCGCAACTGTATTTTCTACTAACAATGCTGGTGCCACTACCGCGTCCGTTACCAGACGTACTCTAAATGTTAGGCTACAGTTAAAGAGGTTTTTACTTTCTTCATCATCGTTTTTTTTTTCTCCCAGTCGGATAACTCTCCTGGTATCAAATTTTCAGGGCCGCGTTGTTTTCTCTGGCAAAGGAAACATCGTATCTTGCTTGGCTATGCGATGAATTAGCGGCAGAAAGTTCTTCGTCGTGTGATTTAGTGGTGTCGGCGCAGAAGACTCGTTTAGTGGTACGGTGTTAGTATTTCGATTTTCTTTTTTTCATTTTGTCCTAAACATAATTTGCAGTCCGGAGTGATTCGTGACACCTTCATCGACCTCGTCGTGCTCTATAGTGTAAAGAAATTCGTTCCACCTCCACCAGAAAAGGATGCTTATCCACCTTGGCGTTGCTGGAATCAGTCGGAAAATGATGCGTGAGTATTTGCTTTTTGAGAGGGTAGAACATTCTTGGCTGCGAGTAGGTAATTTTACTTCAGCGTAAGAGCCCGGAGTACCGCATCGGCTTTGCGGTGAAACAACATAAACAGCCGCAGTTGGTGAGCATGCGTTGTTTTCTTTTGGCGTTCTGAAATGACTATCGTCATTTATAGTGTGGCGAGACGAATATGCTCTGTGTTTCCATTGAGAACCATTAAACCATCTTCGTCCGTAACGTGACGTTTTCGTCGGGTACACGGCTTTACCTTGTATGGTCTCCTCTGCTTCACCGTGTAGTTTATCACATGATTCAAGTTGTGAAGAGGTGAGTAGATCTAGCAAAATGGTTTTTCTATATTTATACCATTCCGTTAATAGTTTATATGTAGTGTGAAGTCATGGTTACATTTTCTAATTCAATTTGTTCCAGCACATTTGTTGAATCGCATGCCGGCCCAGTAGCACCAAGAAGAGCTCCAAAACCGACTCAGTACAGAATGTTAACAAATCACCCTGTCGAATTAGTGATGGAGTTGGCTCGTCATCACAGGTGTGTGCCTCGAACTACAGTGGAGTATACAGGGGTGGCCAAAAAAAAGAGACACTTTGCCCATGGCGCACATCATCGAACTTTTCGTCGCACAGGGTGCCGATGTTAATGAAAGTTTTACGGCGAAATATTCCTTAGGTGTTCCCCCGTAAACAGAAGCAGGCCCTCCTTCACTGCCCCCGTCTTTAGAATATGACGTCATCTGCCGCCACCGTCGAGCTCAACGAGGCTTACCGTAATCGCCTGACGCTGCTTCATAATTTCTTCAATGGATTAACCGTTGAATAGCTTCCCAGAGAACATATTAGCTGTGACTATGCAAAACCGCTTTTGACCAGCATTTCAGGACGTCGTAGTGGTCTATGGTACCTCGACGACCTCGTTGAGCTCGTACCGTGAACCATGTTTCCGTGGGAAAATCTTCTGATGTCGTCGGTGTAGAAGGCTGTCATGTAAGGTTTAGATAGATTAGAAGGTGCTCTTCAATACTGAGTTGGGGCAGTCGATTTGATTTTAGCAAAGTGTGATTAATGCTGTCTGAAATGTGGAGTCAAGTGTCTCTTTTTTTGGCCACCCCTGTATTTTGAAACTGAAGCTTTTGCTCGTTCCTTCATAGTTTTCATGTTTCTTTTGCATTTAATCTCATTCGGAACCGTTTTCCATCTACACAAAGAAATGATTGCAATGATTTAACTCTTCTTAGGTCAATTTTAAAAGTCCTTTGAGTCGAGAGAAAAAGCAGGCGATGTTACAAATCCTCCATAACCCAAGCTATTTTGGTGTAGTTATTGAATAATTTGCATATTTAGGGTGGTATGGCTTATCCCGTCGTTAACGTTTGATTACTCGCCAGCGGGTCTTACGGCAGTTTCACCGCAGTTAACTATCAACATGGATGGAGCTGATATTGTGACCGCTATAGTGAGTTTCTTTGTTTTGGTTCAATTATTTCATTTCTTAGTTGTCTGATCCTCCGAATTCAGCTGTTCGTGCATTTTTTTGCTTGTTAGATGGTTTCATTTTTGCATGCGCATCCTCTTGATCATTTTTAGGATGTTTACATTACACGGCGCCCTTTTGATGTTCAAATGGATAGTTTTCGAAGAGGATTTGACAACTGCACAACACCTTCCAATAAAGTACTGTTCTTGTCTGACGATGCCTTGTCAATGTGTCGTTGATCTTTTGTCGATGTTCAGCCTTCATTTGCAGGTATGGACCTGGACCGCAGCATCGTTTCTGTTCTACCTTCCGTACGAGTTCAATTTTGCGCAGGTTTTTGACGAGGTATATCCATATAATGGTCAATATTGTATGTTCTCGAAAGTGCTCTACCTTCAGTTCATCAACTGTATCAAGTGGATCAAATTAGTGCATGGACTGAAGTCAACACCATTTAGACCTGGTGGTCCATTACCAGCCGACTTCCGCTTAGTGTTTAAGGTTTGTAAACATGCAGCTGTGTAGCAGAGGGCTTGCGTACGTTATAGGCTTTTGTGAAACTATTTTAGGAAGCTCGCATTGAGCTTGAAGACGATTTCTTTGAGAACTTGTTGCAGATGAGTCACGAGCTCAAAGAAGACGAGGTATTTTTGAGAGATCTAGTTCACGTTTTGTTCATCAGCAAGAATTATGTAGACTACTGTCAAAGCGCCCATCACTCAGTTTGAGACTTGAAAATCTAATTGTTCTAGACTTCAGCTACTGTTGGAGAGCCAATTTAGGTTTATGAGTGCGAGCGGAGACGGCAAATGCTTAAAGACCGACTTCTTACCCTCCGTAAAGCAAATCCTCTCATACCGCGTAAGTCTGCAAGAAGAAAATGAACCGTCTCCTTTTTATCTTGAAAGTGATTTAGTCCTCAATTTTCAAGAGACCAGAATCGATGAGCTTTTCGCTATGCTCCTGGAGAAGAACAGCGCTATCTATATTGAACGTTGGAACAAAGCAGGAAATGCAAAGAGGTTGTTTCCACATTGTACCGAATGACAGCTCACTTATTTCTACAAGATGCTTTAGGCCACTGTTTGTATCGAAATGGGTGGACTGGGATTTACGCGCTTTTGCTGACGAAACATTCCATGGAACCGATAAATGCGTGGATTTCATTCACGAATTCGATCCATTGAGGTGGGTTTGCCCCTGTGGTTGGAATTGGGGTAGCCATTTTCATGAAAAACTATCAATTACTTCATATATTCAGTGCTTATCCAGTCGGTGGACTGCAGTTTTCTACACTGTGGGGGCGAGCGGTTGAGCTTGACATGGGAGAGTGGTGCGTAAATTTCAAGGATTATCCCATCCCATATTTGCTTGCAAAGGACATGCATTTCTTCGGTCTTCTTGTAGGCGCTGAAGAGATTGAAGGTTTGTTCAATTCATCGAATTCCTTTTCCCAATAATGTGTTCTTTTCGCTTAAAACCCTACTGTATGCAGAAAGTGGTCGTTCATTCCGTGAATGTGAGATACATTTGCCGGCACCATGGGAGACATACACCGTGAGACGGAACATGGCGCCATTGAAGTTCTATTATGATATGCAGTGCGGTTAGTAAGCTTAACAACTGGCTTCGTTCACATGCGGGACATGGTGGTTTTACTGGGCGTTTGTTTTTGACTTTTTTGTCAACTGTGAAGCAAGTAATCAAAGGAAATCCGCTGCAGAAAGCGCGGATCTCTCTGCGACGTATGGGCCGTGCTGGGAGCCGTGCTTGTCAATGATCAGTCTTATGTGGAATAATATAAGTGCTCCGTCGAAAGATCCATCAGTTCCGCTGCCTTTCTGGGATAAAATGCGCTTCCTACTTCATGGGCGCTACTCGTGGCTGAGTTCAAAGGTATGGTGTTATTTGGGTTCTGTCGATGGTTTATTGAAGAAAGCTCTTGATTATAGGTCGTTACGACTATGTTAGCATCACCAGATCCATATAACACAACAGAAACTGTGGAGATGTGCTGGGACGACTTTGGACTCGACTGGGCGCTGGGTGAGTTGGCGTTTTTTCTTTTGAAGTTATGTCATTCGCCTCAACTATCGATCTCTGTAGAAGCGCTTCTTAGACATCAATCCCACTTTCAGGTGAACTCCAAAATTGGAAAGGAGGTGTGGTGAAGAGGGGGGGGGGGAGTGGGAGTGGGTTGAATGCTATTGCTCTGCTAACCTGCCGAATGCGAACGTGTGTTTGTGAAATACAAAACCCTTTGGGTCCTTTTCAGGTTGTCAAGTTTGCGTTGAACGCTTTTGCTGGTGGACCATCACTCAAGTCCTGTATGAGTGCCACAGTTGGCGATTTGAGCGACTGGAATCAGTTTGCAGCCACATGTCGGGGTCCGTGAAGAAGCACTTCGCAAGCGCGCTCTATACTTTCATCGCCGTACTCAAGGTTCAGGGTCGAACATGGTCTGATAGAAAGTACCCTCTTTTTCCGACATCCCTGCCATTGTCTTGATTCATAGGACCCCAACTCCCGCAAATTTCAGAATAAAATGCGTCCAAATGCAGCTCTTCCCTCCTCCCTCTCTGCAAAACGCAACTTCACTATGCATGTCTGCCTCTGTCAAGGACCATTCCGAAATTGGCTAATTTGCCTTCATTTCCGGGGATTTCATTCAGTGTCGCTGTTGTAAGACTTTCAAAATAAAGGGAGCAATAAGATTTGAAGCTCGTGTTTTAGGTGAAATACGCATTCGATCCGGTTTACGGGTATTCATGCGCACAGCATCTCGGTACGATGACTCTCGCATCCTCTTCTTGCCCGATCTTCGACTTCGTGTAGTATTAGGTGAGAATCTCAAGATACCTTCTTCATCTTCCTGCTATTTAGCTGCTTGTTTATTGGGTTTATTGCGATTGCATATTGCCCCAGCTAATGGCTGCCTATTTGCAGACTGGATTTGCACTGGTGATCCTCATGATCATCATGCAGTGACGCTCTGTGCGCCACATCGTTTGCCACATTCTTTCCTGGTACGTTCAAATCTATAAATTTATGTCGAGGTTGGTTTGGGCTACCAGAAATTCTAGAATTTTTGATGGATGTGTCATCTTATATATTTTCTCCATAGATGGAATTTGCTACCTAGATTCGACCAGATTTGTGTATGTTTTGAGCTCACTATTTACAGGATCACGATTCGTTCCGTGCTTTTCGGTCTTCCTCACTCGATCTGTCGTTCTCTTTTGACGTGGCCGCCGGTGCTGAAAATGGTGAAACTGGAGATCGTATCCCACACGTTCTTCTCTATGCAAATACATTTTCGTTGCATCGAATTTCTTCTCGTAAGTTGTCACTTCTCACGCTTATCTGCTCATTTTTACTCCTGCATGGTTATTGAACAAGGATCTAAGGTTGTGACTAATCTTGAGACACGGATTTAGGTCACTTAGGCGATCCTCGCGAATGGTAACCTAAGGGAAGGTGCTCGTTGCTAATGAGTGGGCTAGTATGATGCCTTGAAACAAACGCTAATACACATTAGGAATGGTTCAGTGGCAAGAGGCACAGTTACCACCAGTGTGGCTTGTAGACAGGAACCACGCATAGCCAGGTGGCTGTGCCCACCATTATTTGAGCATGTGACTGGCTCTAGAGTGGCCAAGAAGGTGGATTTAACCTAAGGTTGACGGGGGAATTCTTGAACAGGTGCACCTCCAGCCGTCTTCGGCTTATTCAGATGCGCTATACCTCCAAAACCTCCGATCATTTCTCCCTTTGCTTTTATTTATCTGCCAATGACATAAAACTTGTCCTAATGGAATTTCTTCATTTCAGCTGCTCATAGTGGTCTATGGGCTCTTTTCATACAATTAGCCTTTGTTTAAGATCGAATCTGAAGTTATTATTTGCAGAATACGTTGACAATGAAAAATCGAAATGTACGAAAGGGTCGGCTATTTGGAACTCCGCCCTACCCCAAACCACAACTCGGAAAGCATTTTCGGTAAAAGACATTTCCAGATGTGACATACACAGCTGCGTTGCATATTGTGATTCCTTATCTCTTCAGGAACGTCCAGGTGTCGCTGAATTTCCCACGATTTTACATAACATATTGGATGTCTCATTCGTCGGACTACGGTTTCCGTGTAATATCCGATGGTCTTAATTTGCTTGCCTCGATGAAATTAACGGTGCAGGCTGAAGCTGAATCGGTACTTGGTTTGGAACATACTTTTTGTACTTGTGTCCCAAGCATCAATTGAGCATTACTTTCAAGGGAATCACCCGTAGGCGCAGTTATGTGTGGATCCCTCAGCATGTGTCGGCAACTCTTTGGGGGACTCAGGTGACCTTCTTTTTCCTTCCACTTATTTATTGTTTATTTTTGGTTCACGAACGAGTAATTAGGCGTGTTGTTATGGTCCGATGCTGGAAAGTAATTTGCCTGATTTACTATAGTATAGGTGCACGTCTATAGCAACGGTCACGCACCATCCGCTGACGGACTGTCGTCCAGTGACGAAGAAACATTCCTTTTGGGCTTGACTCGAGTATCTTATGTCCGAGAAAATAACCGCGGACGAGATGCACCTCAGCATAGGCTCACGGTCCATGACCTTAAGGTGTGCGAAGAGTTTTCCTAACGTTTTTAAGCTTTCTAACTGTTCTAAGAATACAGTTCACTAGTTACGAGGTTTCAGGCCTCATGGACAGCACAGAATCGCGACGCTTGCATTTCAATAGCAGACGGAGTACATCGCGCCCACATGCTCCGCAGAATTCTTAGCAATGACGCTTTGAAAATTCTCAAGGTGATTTGATTTTGAAGCTCTCCTTCCATTCATACAGTTGAATAATGCAAGTTGATCTATTGCACTCAAACTCGGTGTTTATAATGTAGTTGCACATGGAAGAAGAGGGTCAGTCTTCCTCTTCGGATGCACCACAGCCTGATGGTTCCACCTCCAAGGATGATCGTGGTCATCGCCGTGGCTATAGCATGTCTGACCACAACCAGTCTCTGCTCAATCAATTGATTGGAGAAGCCAGTACAAAGCTTGTGGCCCACTGTGAACAGGTGAGCCAGTTGTGTTTAGTGACTTTTCCACCGTATCAGAGTCTCCCCTGGCGCTGTCGCAAGATACGATGTGGTGCCAATGCATTAAGAACCGCAAAACATCTCTTTTTCATTACAAACGGACTTAACCTCAATTGGGTAGGAGTGCCAAAGGCGAGTATTAGGGGATGTGCTCGTACTTCGCAATAGCGGCTCTCCACCTCCTATTCTAAGGCCAGTGGCGGTACTGGCGAGTAACGCCATATGCCACGCTTACGGTTCGGGTATTGAATCTCAAATCGAGTATCGTCAAGTCATCCCAGCAATTATATTTCTCTGCAAGCCGCTCATTGGTACCAAACCGTTCTGGGAGGAAATATCACTGAGCTGTACATCGAGTCTGAGATATTCCCTCAAGTGTAATTGTGATTTAAACCTCACTCTCAGGCCGGAGATCTTCCGACAGATTCATTGCTTGGAGCCCTGCAATGCACAATGGACGACGTTCGCAGCATTAATTGGCAGAGTGAGTTCTTGAATTACTGCGTGTTTTCTACCTGATTTTCTTTGTTTTAGTCGATCTGCTAAACAGTCAAGTTGTGCTGAAGGGATGTGAACGGGCTGGATTTCGTGCTACTAACAGCTGCACGGGCCAGCGTGACACAGAAGGTTTGGAAGGCTGAAACTCTCACGAGTGGACCAGCAGATTTTCGAACATCTTTGAATACATTTCAGGTGCATCGATGTGTATGGCGAAATGGGCAGCTTTTAGGAAAGAAGTCATGGTCTTCCATTATATCGGGTATGCAGTACTTTGCGCCCATTTCTATTGTCAACGGGCGTACTGTTGAGTCGTTCAGATGGCTCACAAGAGAGGTAAGAACAGTACAGTCGCTTGTTTCCGAGAATCATCCATAAGTAAGAACTAGCTGTCTATCTTTGGTGTGGATCATAATCTCATGAATGAGAACGAACATCAGCTTAAAAACTAAATGTACCAATGAATTTAGCACAAACTGGCAATTTTCTCTTGCAGGTGATTGAAGAGAAGACTCCGGCTGGTGTGATGGGTGACCCGTATCTGCACCCATATATTGGTGCAGGGGAAGCCGTAGGTGGTGTGGTAGAAGCAGAAGAGATGTCAGAAAAAGTTCAACTGCAACGAATTGTCTCAAGATGCAGTTGTGAGATATATTTCTGTTACTTCTCTGAAGAACTCAAGACAAACGCGCTCGAGGAGTCCGGAGTTCCTAAGGTATGTTTCCTGTTGTGCGCCTGACTTCCATGCGTGGAGTTTAATGAAAAATTAACGGTTAACAATAACAGCTAACAATTCATACTTACTAGCAACAAGTTTCTTATTACTTTTCGCTTTTAGACTACAAGTAATTACCAATGTAGATGATGACAATATGTAGCAGTTGTATCGGAGAAACATTTTCTCTCTTCTTCGATATACCTCGTTAGTATCCGTGCCTTTCTCTGTTTATCATTTATTATCACTTTTTTCCTCTTGCTGATATAAACTTTTCTCTGTGGTATCAAGGGATAGATGCGTATTTTAAGGTCGAACAAGAAAGTGCCATTGGTGGTGACGAGACTGGCGTGGATTGTTTCACTCTCAAGCACAACATGTTGGAAGCGAGTAGTAATTCGGAGCAGGTCTGTGTCCTCCGTTGTATCGTTACCCAAACTAGCTCTTTTTTCTTTTTCTTGACCAATCTATTTCAATGAAGGTGTACGTTATAGTATGAAATGATGGTTGACATTGTGAACAATCTGGTACTCTTCATTGATCCGAAAAAGAAAGAGTTGGCTGAGCGTAGAAGGAAACTGCAGTTCGCATGTCAGATGATGGATATGAAGGAAATGAGGGAGAAAATTGTAGAACAACAGGTTGGTGCCTACATTTTATTGCCACCTTGATGGAAATATCCTATCGTGTGGCAGGAGTGAACCATCTCGTATTTGGGATGTGAAGGAAAACCTAGAGCAGATTGAATTCAATGCGAAAAACTCCCACTGGATATTTTAAGAGGGGGGAGCGGGAGGATTTTCTTGTAGCTAATGAAAGAAATACAAGATAGTTCTGATTGTCACTTAACTGTTTTACTGCCTGATTGACTTACCACCTCTTCCAAGCTTTTTATCAGGATTTATCCATCCTACCTTTTCT